ACTTGGCACAGTGAGAGACTAGGCAGGAGTCCTCACACTTTTAATGTACACACGAATCACCTGGGGCAGGGGTAGCTTGGTAAAAAAGACTGCTGCCTCCCACCCCCACACACACCCCCACCGACGTTTCTGATTGAGTAGGTCCGGGGTGGGGCCTGAGAATGTGCATTTCTAACCAGTTCTCCAGTAATGCTGCAGCTACTGGTCTCGGGATCACACTTTGAGAAATACGGGCAGGGATAGTGAGAAGCGAAACAGTGCAAGGGCAGATTTACGTTATCGCTGCCCAAGCATACCTACGTAATACAGGTAAGTTTCTTTTGAAAGGTACTGCTGCTCTGTTTGTTAAATTCTTAGCAAGGACTTGTTTTCCCCTTGATCTCTTGCTCTCTCTGGAACGATGGATGCACAGGGGAAAAAACCAGTGAACTGAAGGTTATGGAAAGTTAAATTCTAGCTTAACCTAAATAGTCTGCTTAGTATAATAAAGTCTCCCAAATAAGTGATTTCTCTTCATCCCACGTGTTCCAGGACTGAATTGCTATGCAGCATCAAGTACGTGTGAGCAGGGAGTGAGGACTAAATGCTGTGCCAACAGCCACCTTCAAGGCATGTGTGTCGGCTACTGGGGTGAAAGAACTGACATCCTCATCTTCGCAAGACAGGTGACTCATCACGTCCCCAGTCATCACTCACAATCACACTAAATGCCTCCACCTCCTCAGAAACCCTCCCTGGATCCTTCTGGGAGGATCCCACCCTACAAGGACACATGGACAGCCACCCTCTGATTTGGGGGCCTCTCCCCGGCATGCCACAGGACGTCTGCCCTCCCCTACACTATGACCATGTCCCTTCTAGTAGCCCAATATTTGCTTACACCATCACCTGCAAGCAACTTTAGGTCAGGGCCTACAGCTCATTCATCTCCATACCTCCTGCTTCAGAGACTATATCTGCCCAGGCAGTCTTGTTCATAAATACTTAAAAGCTGCCATAAACCACTTCCTGACTTGGAAAATATAGGGATTATCCCACAACCCAGAACTTGTACATGACTGTTGTCTGAACAAATACTGTAAGCTACAAAACCTTTTCTCCCTATTGCGAAGTGCTTAGAGCAAACAACCATGTCCTGGCCGGCCAGTCCCCAAGGACCCAGGAAGCCTCCCATCTGGGTATAGGCATCTGCTGCTGTGTGTCTGGGGGAGGGGAGAGGCCCCTTGACCTTCTCTGCTTCCTTTTCATCTGAGTCGGGGCCAGACCTTCAGAATCAGGGAATTTGACCACAGACAGAGAAAACAGCAAGACATGAGGAAGGACTTCCAGACAGAGCACACAGGCTGCGCAGAGTAGGAGAGGTGGGGTAGGTGCAGATGAAAGAGACAGTGGCTGGAGGAGAGAGGAAGGAAGGCTGTACAGTGTGCTCGGGGGCATGAGCTGCAGGGACAAGTGCTAGGCTGGCCAAGAACAGTCCCCCAGATCACTGCAGGACAACTGATGGGAGTGGCTTTCGATGTCTCATCCCAACCCACAACTTTTCACCACTATACTCTTGCATGTACATAGTAAAACGGAAATTAAAAGTCATAAAATAGTAATTACCACACTACGTGTGGTGTACTCTGACATTTCTTTCTTTCTTTTTCTTTTTTTTTTTTTTGACTGACATTTTCTATTCTATTCTATTCCATTAAAAAATTGATGGTCTCAACTGGATAATTTGACTTCACGATTCACTAGTAGGTCATAACCTGTAACTTGACATAATCTGCCCTGTTGTGTCTCAGTTATTGCAGAGGCGCTTCAAGGCTTTGGAATTCCTGCTCAACGCAGTGCTCTCAACCAACTGAGCACCTGCTGTATGCCAGACACCACGCTAGATGCCATGGGGGTGGGGAACAGGGGGCTCGAGAGGACAGGATGTGGAGACCACCCCCTCAAGGAAAAAGAAGGGTCACACACAGAGCAGAGGGCTGCCTGCCTAAGATATGAGACCTGAGGGCAGTCAGCCACCACCGAGCACCAGGGACAGGCACCACCACCTCCCAGTGGCTGGCATCAGAAAGCAGACAGAAGTGTCCCTGCTTACATATCCTGTTGAGTCCCAGCCTTTCTCTCCTCCACCAAATGCAGCCCCAAGCCCTCTTTCCTCCTGTCCCTCTAGAATGGCCGAGAAGGTGGAGGAAGAATAGGCAGCAGCACTATTCAGTAACAAGAGGATGACCAAGTTAGCCTCCCAGCTCCCAGGATGCTGTGAGCCTCCAGGTCTTCCTGGGGCCAGGCTGGAGATATCTTTGGGGACGTCCCCTTGAGTAGGTGTCCTTCTGATGCACCCGGGAGCTTGATTCAGAGCTGCCTGCTCCCCACTTACTGAACTAAAGCTTTAAGGCAACTCACGCATCTCAAATTTATTTCTCACAAAAATTTTATTTTTCCAACACCCTCTTAGGGTTCTTATTGGAAAAAATAGGCCACCCTGAAGACATCCAAAGCTCCTTCCACAATTATCCCAGTGAGATCCTGCAGGAGATCAGCTACAATCAGTGAGACTGCAAAGCTGTTTCCATAATGAAGGACTGTGCACCCCTTGCCTTCGTCACTGTGGTTACAGCCCTCCTCCTCCAGCCCGCCCCTCAGTGCTCACCTCCCTCCCACTGCGCTATGAGGGGGGGGCCAGGCCCTCCCACCGATTCGTGAGTTGAGAAGCCACCCAAGTAACTAGAATGGGTCAGGGAGAGGTAGGAAATAGAAGCAGGAGACTCCAGCAAAGGAACAATGGCTGCCTCCATATGACCCTTCTCTCCAGCCAGAGGGACGGGGGAAGAACCGCTCAGACCTCCTGCAGTGGGGAGGGCCATGGGATCAGTCGAGCGCCTCCCGGAGCAGCTGGCCCTCTGGGGAAAACGAGGAGCTTCTCCTGGACAGGGGCAGCCCCTGCCATCTCCATATCCCCAGGCCTGGCCCCTGCTAGGCAGCAAGATCTCTGTCACAGGCAGAGATCTGGGAAACACAGCTACTGATGTCTCTTTTACCTGGCCAGGTATGTGATAAGCACTTGGCCATGAAGGCTTAGAGCCTCAGTCTCTGCATCTGCCAAATGGGGACAATCACGAGTCTTGATAAACTGTAAGATGTTTCCACATGTAAAGAGTTATTACTGCCACTCTGCAGAAAGGCAGAGACGTGTACATGCGAGACCCAGAACAGCCAGTGTTTGCTGTGGGGGCTGTTGCTGTCAGCCTTGTGGGAGGGGAAGGATTAGGGGATCTGGACCACTCTGCGCTGCCCACCTTGGTGAAAGTCAGCCAGCAAAGATGCCCACTCAGCCCGCTCCCCTGCCTGCACCTTCTTCTCATCTCTGACCTCCTTCTGTAGGCGGGAATGGGGGGAATAACCTCCATTTGAAAGATGAGAAGCAGCCGAGGCTCAGAAAGCTGACGTGAGACCTCCAAGGCTGCAGTTAGGAAGTGGGGACGCCAACACCCAGCACTTGTCCTGACCCACTTGCCTACCAGCAACGTGCCCAGCTCTGGCCTTTGCATCACTGTCATAGCCCTTGTCCCATTTGGATAAGCCGCAGAAGGAAGCAGAGTCATCAGGAAGGGCCTTGATAAAGAAGAGGCAGGGAAGAAAGGACCCAGGCAGGGACAGCCTGGCCAGGAATTCAGGTGACAAAGAACTCAACAGCAAGACCCTGAAGATCTGGGCAGCACAGGAGGCAAAGTCTCGTGTCAAAAAGGCACCTTTGGGCATGCTCTTCCTGCTAATGACTGCACAGTGGCCCAAATGATTGGCAAACCAACCCAGAGGCAAGCCCTTGGGACCCTGGTCTTGGGAGCCCAAGACTGAACCAGAGCCCATCCCCAGAAGCCAGGCAAGGGAACCCCATCCCAGACACAGGGCTGAGTTCTGGAATCATGTATTCTCGCCCTGGCACTTCTGCAGTCTTGCTGTGCAACCCCATGCTCTCTCATAATGTCTTTGAGCCTCAGTTTACTCAGTTTTTACTCATTTGTCAAAGACCCAGAACCTCAATGGTCAGCTGGTCCCACCTCCCACCCAGCCAGGGCCAGAGTCCTGCAATCTGTGTCCCTAATAGATGGGCACTCACCACCACGAGGCAGGCTGTTCCCCATCTGACAGGTCCAAACCACTAGAAGGCTCTTGCTTTTAATAAAATGGCGTAATGGCTGTGAAATACCTTATAAAAATAAAAGCCTGGATTGAAGGGGGTTATTAACACTGTTGAAATGAGAACTGCAGCAAAATTAGAGGCAACGTGAGAGGATGAGTTGGAGCCTAGGCAGCTGAAGGAGGGAGCCAAGGACCAGAGGGCACAGAGAGGCCCTGCTAAGTGCCCACTTCTCTCTGGGGAGATTAGACTGCTGGCTGGTGAGGTCCCGATGAGACAGATAGGCACATAATTGCTGCAAGAGGAGGGGGACTGCTCCCTGACCTCAGCAGAACCCAGCCCCCTGGGGTCTGCGGCTTGTAGAAGCACACATCAGACCCCCAGTTTACTGGTGGCACAGGGCACTAGGAGGCCAGGCTGACAGGGAGGAAGGAATTCATATTGGAAGGTGCAGCGTGGCTGTTCTGAACATGTTTGCCTGGTGGCCCTGCTCAGTAATGGTGAAGAGCTGACGGTGAAGGCAGGAATCCAGACAGGAGTAAATGTATGGAGGGTCAGAGCTGAGGGTCTAGGCACACTAGGCTGCAGATGGAGACCCAAAGAGGGACAGCTACGGTGTCCCAGCTAGCTCAGGGCTGCACTGTGGGCAAAGCTGAGGCCGTCTACCTACCACGTGAAAGCAAGTGTCCAACCCAGCACCCGGCAGGTGGCAGTGCCTCCTCATGGCTACCTGCCTAGACCCACCATCCTTTGTTCAGTCACCTCAGACCAGAAAGCCCAACCTCCGCTGCAGGCCTGTGAAAGCCCCATGCTCTGAGAGAGCCTCACGCAGCAGCCCAGGGCCATTCAGGCCAGGTCCACTCACCTACAATCTCGTTCTCCTCCAGGTTGATGGTCTCCAATGCCGGCAGGGTGGTGAGCTGCTCAGGGAAGTCTCGGAACTGGTTCCGGGACAGGTCGATGACCTTGAGGTGCTGCAGGGCACTGACCTCATTGGGGAGTCGATGTAGGAAGTTTCCTTCCAGGCGGAGCTCTGCCATGTGGAGGGGAGAAGAGAGAGGAGCATGAGAAGTGCCACCCAGAGACCACAGTGACTACAGGTCTCACTGCCTGCCTGGGCCAAGAGGCAGCACAGAAGCCCCAAGCCATAAAGGAAGTCCCCCAAGAGGCTGAGGGGTAAGGCTCTGGCCCCTGTCATTCCAGCTAATGGAAGGCTCTCCCAACAGAAGCCTGGGCCCAGACAAGGGTCAGGATGTGCTGGCTCCTGCTCCAGCAAGGCTTCAACTCCAGGCCTTGCTGGGTGCCTTGGGTTGAATGTCCCCCCAAATCTTAGTCCCCACTGTGACAGTGTAAAGGGGGTGGAATATCCTATTATGGTAATTGAAAAGTGGGGCCTTGAAGAGGTGATTAGACCATAGGACCATGTCGTAGTGAATAGATTAATAATGGTGGCCAGGGGCGTGGTTCTGAGGGCTTTAAAGAGATGGGGAATGAGAAGTTTGCTCTCTCTGCTCTGCCACACCATGATGTGATACACTGCATCACTGAAGTCACCGCAAAAGAAAGCCCTCACCAGATGTGTTCCCTGGACTTTGGACTTCTAGCCTCTGAAATCATAAGCAATAAATTTCATTTTCTTATAAATTACCCTCTTCCCTGCATTTTGTTGTAAGCAACAGAAATGGACTAATACACTGAGACAGGTCAGGACGGGCAGCCCCTGGGCTCCCTGCACCCCATCCAGGGGCACCACTCTCCTCAGCCCGCCCTACTCTGTGTCCCATGCCCCTGCTCCACAGTGCAGCCATAGCTGACCAGATGTGGGTGGGCTCCCACCCGGGCTCCTGCCCCAGAGCAGCTGCTCCAGAAGCTGACCAGCAACCTATGCAACGACCTTAGTGAGAAGGGAGCTGGGCAGTTGGAGTCCCTTTGCTGGGAACCTGGTCAAGGCAGTGCCGAGAGATGGGGCTGGGAGTGGTGGAGGCTGAAGTTGTGTTCTACCACTAGAAGCTGGGGACCCCCCCAGGCGCCCTGTACAGGGAGGAGGGGTGAGGGGCAGGATCAAAACCGACAGGGCAGTGGGAGCACAACGCAGGGCTTATGAGAGGGCACATGGAGTCCCCACTGCCTGGTGCAGACTCCAGTCGCACCACTGAGAGCAGTGCATTCGGAAAGTTATTTAACCCATTTAGGCCTTAAGTTTCCTCACTTGCAGAAAGAAAATAATAATAATATCTGCCTCATAGGGTTGTTGGAGGATTAAATCTGTTAACACGGGTAAAGCACCATGAAAAGGAGATAAAGAGGTTAGGCCCAGAGGTTTCCCAGTCCCGGTCTAGTGGGCCCCTCCTCTGCAAAATGCACCTCCCACCCAGTCTGACCCAAAGGAAACTGAGGCCCAGAAATGTCAGGTGGTCTGAAGAATGTCCTTCCCCAGGCTGGCTCTGTGGGCCTGTGACCTGTGCATTCATACAGGTCCCTGCTCAGAAGGGCCCCACACTTGGGGTGGAATGTCCTGTGCGGCCGTCTTGGAAGTCTTAATAACTTACCTTCTGACTTCCTCTTCCCTGTGACAACACCTCCCCCAGAGCTGCAGAGAAACCTGGTCTCAGGCCACTGCTCTGGGACTTGTGCCTCTCCCACCTTCGCTCTCTCTTATGAACATGGGGATATAAGCTTTGTCCCCCACTGGAAAGTTGGGAAACGACTCTCCTGTGATGCCCCCGTGCTTTGCCCCCTCCCAGCACACTAAATAATAACATTTGTTATGCTTTTCATCATATTAATCTAAATTTGTCCGTGATTTTTATTTATGAAGCTTCTTGGGTGAAGAGGAAGTTTTCCCTTGGCCCCTACACACGCTGAGAGAGAGACTGCAGAAGAAAGGAAAAAGGTCTCTATATGCCTTTCAGGGCACTGTACCCCTGCTTTGTTTTTTTTTTCCTTTTTGTCTTTTTTACTGACCGGTAATGGGATCGCAACCCTCGGTGTTGCACCCGCACCGCGACCGGCAATGGGATCGCAACCCTCGGTGCTGCACCCGCACCACGCTCAGCCAGTGAGCAGGAACCGGTCTCCACATGGGATCCGAACCCTCGGCTGGAGCGCCACCGCGCTCCCACGCGGTGCACTCTCCAGTGCGCCACCGGGCCGGCCCTTTTTTTTTTTGTACCCCTGCTTTGTGAGAGATAGTCCTGCGTCTCCGTTTCTCACTGGGCCCCGCCAACCACACAGCCGGCCTGCCCCTCCCCCCGTGCCCAGTGCTCTTCCACAGCTTCACCATGCAGCCCGGGGCGTAGGAGAGGAGCGTGCTGAGGTCCCAACAGCCCCTCCCAGAGTTCCCTGCAGCGACAGCAGAGCCCCCGCCCCCCTCCCCTGGGCCTCTGTGCACACACATGCATGCACACGCACCCCTGACAACCAGCCACACTGCAGGTCCCTGTTCTTGGGGCTCTCGGCAGGTGGAAACTGCACCTGATTCATCTTCCCTGCATCCAGCTTCTTACAGGGCACTTTGTGATCACTCAGCAAATATGTGAGGAATAATGACTCTTCTTCTCCCAGGAGACAAACATGATGCAGGGGCCTGGACTGCCTCGCCTGTTTTAATATGCAGGGACATCCTTAACCCAAGGATCCATCAGCAGATCCACTGTGGGCTCCACGCACTCCTGGGCTCCCTCCAGCAGCCAGGTTCTTGGATAGCTACACCATGATCATAAATACCCCGTCTGGATCACCATTATAAGGTCAGTGTTGAAGGGATGTTGGACAACACCTAGTCCAGTGTTTCCCAAATGCGCCTTTGCCAAACAACTCCGAGCATGTGGCTGCCCCAGGGCCTTTGCACTTGCTCTTCACCCACACATGTGCAAGGCTTTCTGCCTCACTTCCTTTGTCTTTCCTCAAATGTCACCCAATCTAAAATAGGATCCCCTCCCACTGGATTCTGTCCCCTTCCCCTATACTATTTACCTTCATAGCATCCACGGTCACCTAATATGTTGACTTGTTTGTATATTGTCTGCCTCCTCCCATGAGAAAGTAAGCTGTACAAGAGTGAGGCTTGGCATCTGTTGTGGGAAAGCGCCACAACACTGCCCATTGCACAATGGCCCTCAAGAAATATCTGATGAGTACACAAACAAATAAATGAATGAACTTGGGCACCACCCTCACAGTTATGCCAAATTTCTGTTCCACATACACTACTGCTTTTCTTTAAATTGATTTGTTCTTTTTTACTTATATAAAAAGAAAAGTTGTTATTGCTTTCCATAAAAATAATTTTATTCAATTCTTGCTGAACACTAGTGCCAGATGAAGAATCTAGGCCCGAGGGGGATTTATACCAGGGTAGCTGGGGATGGAGAGCACATTGTTTATCTGAAATTCAAATTTAACTAGGTGTCCTGTATTTTTATTTGCTAAATCTGGGAACCCAATGCTGGTGGCCTCATGCCTAAGACTCAGAACTACCCGTCTGGCCCTGCCCACCCAGCTCTACCTTCCCCAGCCAATCTGGAGTCTTCTACACCCAGGCCCTCCTGAAAATAATAAACAATATTACCAAACACCTTTTAGGGGCAGGGACTGCACTAATTGCCTTTTCTGCTTGGTCTCCTTTAACTCTCACGGCCACCCACAAGGTCAGCACTAGCATCACCTCCATTTTGCAGAAAATAAGGCTGAGGCTTGGGGAGATTCAGGACTTAAGGCCAATCCTGCAGCTGGCAAATGGTAGAACTGGGGTTTGAACCCAGGTATGAGGACTGCAAAGCCCACATGCAGCCCAACCCCGCCTTCTCCCATCCCCTAAGTCACACAGCAAGGCATGGGAGGAACGGGCATAGACCCGAGAGTGGGAAGAAGAGGTCCATCCATCTGTGCCTCTCTTCTCCCGCTGCAGTGACTACTCCTCGGTGCACACTCCGAAGGTTGCCCCACCCTCATCCCACACGGCCTCTCTTCTGAGCTCCAGGTCCCTCCAGTAAGGGGCAACTGGACGTGACCACCCGGACACCTCCACCAATGACAAACTCAGCAGGATCACAACAGAAGCCCTCACCTTCCCCTGCCAGCCCCACCTCCAACCACCAACCCCTCATCCTGCCTCTCCTATTGGTGGTACCAAACCCACACCTCTCTCCCCACTTCCAGAATCCTTCTTCCCAAGTGAAGGGTCTTCTGTACCTGCCTCACTCAGGCCCTCAGTCCTCACCTGAACCACGGCCAGCCTCCTCATTGGCCACTGGTCTCCAGTCCCCTCTCCTCCAATCAATGCTGCATGGGGGCGGGGAGGGTGTCCATTTAACCTCTTAAGTGCAGGTCTGAGCATCTCAGTCACCTGCTCACAAACCTGCAGAGGCTCCCAAGGCCTCCTTCACCAGGCACTCAAGGCCCTTTGTGATCAGGTCCCTGTGGCCCTTCCAGCTGCTGCTGCGGGTCCAGCACTCACACCTGAACCCATGCTCCAGGCAGCCCCTGAACACTTTCTGGTAAGATCCTGACTGAAAAGACACATCACAAGAGAGGAGAAGATATATTACATCATCTTGCTGGACTCCAATATAGTCCTGCATCCAGCAATGATACCTTTTTCTTTTCCTTAGGACCTGCCATGCATCCTTTGCACTGCTAGGAGCTGAGGCTACATTGTCTTGTTTAATCCTCAGTATAGCTCTGTAAGATTTGTCCTAAAAGAAGTAGGAACTGTGGCTCTGAGAGAGTAAGCAACTTGCCCAAGATCACACAGCTGGTGGCAGAGAAGCCAGGATTGTAATGGCCCTGGAGGATCCTATGCTTTTTCCACCAGCCTCGTGTTGCACCAGGGAAGGATGTGCCAGTGATAAAACACAAACCTGAGAACAGAGCAAATGGACTGGGGACAAAGGGGACAGAAGGGACAGGCATGAATGTTATTGACTGACACTATGTACAAGGCAATGTAGTTAATTGTCCGTGAAATCTCATTTAATCCTCCCAACAAATCCCTAACTCAAATTTATGGACTAGGGAACTGAGGCTCACAGG